ATGAGGCTGAATGAAACAGAAGAGGATGACATCGTCCTCGTGGCAATGAGCAGCCCTTCAACTCTGCTTGAGTTTACTGCTAACTGATTAGCCTACAACAAAATAAGCCTTCAACTGAAGAATGATACTCATGCAGGGGTTCGCAATAATTTAAATGTTTTGTTCCTCTTCCTTCTCCCTTCGAAAGCAACATCTCACATGCAGCTGATGTGTAGCAGTTCTGAATTTCTACTTTAAGATCCTTAAGCACACTTTCCTGCAAAAGGTAACAGAGTTTTCCTTCATCTGGGCTATTTCTATGTGCATCTTCCTGGAGCCCTTCTCTCTGTGGGACACCACAGAGCGTACCTAAAACTCTGCAGCAGTCTGCAGATAGGGCAGCATGCAGCAAGTTGAAACAAATATGACATCTGCTCTAATTTGACGTGAAGTAGCACAATCAGCAGTGCAACTCCTGTGATCACAGGCTGTATTTCAAGACTACTTTGTGGAAGATATATGAAGTTTGAACACGAAGCCAATACCGGATGGCCAAATGCATCAGAAGTGATCACAAATCAAACCATTAGTAAGAAAATCTTCTGCACCACTCTCTCTTCCTCCCTGATCCTCTGTGTTTCTGCTCACATAAATCACAACCGTAGCTGGCAGGCACTGGTTTACATTTGAAAAATTACTGCCATTCCTAAGACATGACGCAGCCAATTGTAACTCAACCACCACATGGTATTTCAACAGAGTAAATACTTTTTTGCAGCAAGAGCAGTCCTATGTGCTGCTCCTTACAGCAGGGAGAAATATAATGAGTTTAAAAGGTCACCGATAACTACTAGGGGTAATTACCTGTCAGTTTACCCAAAAAATCTATTTGATGCCCCCCCCTAAATAAAAGATGATAGATTGCAGATGAAAGGCTGCTATTTGTGCCTGTAACAGGTAGTTTCTATTGGTAACATGGCTAGGGTATTTCAATCATAGCAAACTGGTTTCCTTTGGAACTGGGTCAAAACAAGCCATCCTCTCTCAAAGAGCCACCCATGAGTGCAGAGTTGAAATGCAACACAGAAACCCCTGGAATGGGATGTGAAGAGGCAGAGAAAGCTTGGGAAATAAAGCTGCTCCAATGTTCACGAGTCTTTTTCTTGCCTCTAAAATGCACCAGATGAGCCCAAATACTTTCTGCAGAGCTGCAGAACTGCTTTGCTCCATCAGCTCCCCTCCAACCCAACGTTTCCTAAATAAAACATTATGATTTAGCTCTGAGTCTAAAGATTACAAAAATACACTGAATTCATTGATACACCTCACTGACCAGTGAAGTTTTTGCAGGCTCATAATAATATATTCAGTTACACGTTTAACAGTTTGAGAAGACCACAGGCAGCAAATAATGCTTTTGGTTTCTCCGGCCCTTTGTAGGCAGAACAACACACATTGTGGCTTTCAGACTTCTGCTACAAGCTCTATATTTGCTGCTGGCTTGAACCATTTGGTGGCATGCGGAGTGAATGCTCCATGAGAGCCTCCAGCTGCAGAGGATCAGATGTGATAACCTGCCCAGTCCTCCCCCAGCCCCAGCATGCGAGCTCTATGGAGCAGCTCCTATTGCAAAACCAGAGTGCATACACATTTCAATAGACAGCCACAGCACTGCATGCAAGTGCAAGCCACCAACAAACTCCAGCTGGTTTCTCACTCTGGAAGACCATGTGAAGAACAGACACCTACCCAAGCCAACCACAGAACCGTACACAGCACTTCTCATCCTGTTTGTTCACACAGGTGACATGGAAAGCCTACGTACCTCATGCACTGTTACAGTCATCTGGAAACTGTTCTGGCTAGAAACTCAGCACTTTTTCTTTCTGAACTGGTTTTGAACTGGCTCAGTTCCCTGCGCTGGCTTACACCAGCACTGCTCCTTTTCTTCACACTGTTATTGCACGAGGTAGGAATCAGAAAAAGGGGTGCAGTGGCTTTTTCTGATAGCAGCCTGGATTTATACCAGAATAGAATAGTTAATGATTCCACAGACTCCAAACTCTCTCATATTTGGTGCTGAAGCCATCAGTACATTTTTTTTTCTCCAGTCCTCAAAGAACACTTTCATGTTAAGAGCAGATGATAACTAAAGAAAGAATTGCTTTTAGAACTGAAGTGCAATACTTAAGCTGAAGCTCATGCAATCCCGCGTTACAGCCAGCAGGAAAAAACAATTACGTTGTGGATTCCCTAAGTTAATGATTTTAAAACAAGCAGAAAACTGAAGCTGAAAACTGGGGCGTCATTCCGATATCCTTTCCTGCAACACAAAAAGTTGGCACGAAAGGCACTCTGCAGTGACAACTGTTTTAAAGAAGCCCCACTCCACAAACAGGCTATTTCATTTCATTTGGAGCAGACCATCCAACTTCAGCATCTTTCCTTCCCAAACCAGAGGTGAAGGACACTGCAAGGAAGCTTAATGAAACCCCATAAATCCCACTGCTTCAAGAGGCATAATGCTGCCCATCAGACCCTCAGCAGCATCTTCACCCCTTTACAAAGCTGAAGCTCCCAAACCCAGATCTGTTATTGGGTTGAAAATTCATTGGGAGTGAGGAGCTGTGAGTCATTTGCATCTCATGTATGTTTCCCTTTAGGATGCTGTGATTTCCAATTTTGATGTTTTCCAACCTCTCTGCTGCCTGCAGCTTCAAACTCAGTCCATACATCATCTGTATCAATGGTGCTAAAGGCAGTCTCTGGGCTTAACCAACTGAGAACAAAACTCCTGGAGGGCAGCAAACCCATCTGAACCCACAAGTAACAGATCTGTAGACTGATGCAGATGATCAACTATTCTGAACTGCAAACATTAGGCACATGGCACTGAATCACACGTTAACTTCTTGGAATTTCTTTGTGTTTTGGTATGATTTACAGGGTTGTGTTTTTCAGTATTAGTTTCCAAAGCACAGCTTGGTAACAATCACAGTATGTGTCTGTTGTTTCTAAAATCAGTGAACCTTCTGTATTCATACTTTACGGCCACCAACCCTCCCCCCTAGCAGCGAATGGAAGTTCTTACCCACACCCCTATGTTTTCCAGACAGAAGTGGACCTTTTCCATCTCATGGGATCACAGAATCACAGAATGGCCTGGGTTGAAAAGGACCACAGCGCTCATCTGGTTCCAACCCCCTGCTGTGTGCAGGGTCACCAACCACCAGAGCAGGCTGCCCAGAGCCACATCCAGCCTGGCCTTGAATGCCTGCAGGGATGGGGCATCACAGCCTCCTTAAAGGCCCTACAAAACAGCCATATACACCCCTAACCTATCTATGATGAGCAGACCCTACTTTTATTTCTGACAGTCAAATTGAGCACAGAAGCAAAGAGGATTGGCATCTGGGTGCAACTCTTCAGCACAGCACAGGGCACAACCGTAGAAGGGAAAGTGACAAGTCTGAGAATACCAAATTGACAGAATTAAGATTCATTAACACCACGTATCAAGCACTGCCTGACAAAGTTTGTCGCTGCATAAATAATTCTGCTTGCTGCCTGTGGGTTAACCCTATCAGCTGTGTTATGAAATAAAGGCAATGAACTCCACACCAGTTGGGCCCATGAACGCATTCAGGGACATAAGGACCAGCTGGCAAAGACACAGACCTACACGGAGAACTTCCTACCAGCACATCTTATGGTTGGTAACATAAGGGAAGAGGTAGTTTGTTCTCCACCCTGCTTACTCACCAGCCAATGCCCTTTGTGGAGAGGAGCTTTCATAATCAGCAGTTGGCTCAGACCAACAACACAGAAAAATCACCCTGGAAGCAAGAAGAAATGTTGACGAGAGGAGTGCCTCTGATTCATCCTCCTGCCCAAGGCCATTCTTCAGGTAGAAGAGCCTCAGAAAGGTATGTTTTAAAAACAACAACAAAAACAACACAAATAAAACACATCTCGCTCAGCCATTCAGATTACAATTCTATATGTGCTTGATTATAATACCAATATTTTTCAACCCTGACGTCCAGAGTAATCTCACCAAGTCATACGCGTGCTCTCCCACATACAAACAGGCTGTTCCCTACCCAGAAAGAAACAAAGTTCAGGCTGTAGGATATTCCACACCCTCACTGATACCTCGATAAGATTGCGCTGCATGCAGTTCCTCTGAACTTACTTAGCCAAACTGAACCCGCAGTCCTTGCAGAGCCACCTGGAAATAATTCACTTCAAGCTCAATGTGCAAACGTGCAGGACGGGGTTCCTCCCTCTTCAGCTCACAGACTGAACAAGCAACCTCATAGGATCTGAGGGAATCGACCCTTCTGCATGCTTGCAATCAAAAACTCTCCTTGCATCAGTTGTGGAATGCACCGGGCACAAACGATCACCCTTCGTTAAAAGATCTATAAGAGCTGAAATCGACTATAAGGGATTGTTTCTGTCATTAGTGGTTTCCTGCCTTCTGTTCCACGCCCAAAGCTTGCAATCGAGCTCAAAATTGTGTGGTTTTCAATTTGTCACGCTCTCACGAAATCGGGAACTTGTCTGTGGGTTTGCTTCCTCCTAAGGAAAACGGAGCCAGCATTCAGACATCCCCTGTGAGCCCCATGAGGAGGGCAGGGCAGCAGGCACAAGGTGTCATCCCAGCAGGGATGTTTCCGATCCTGACTTACAACCTTCTTAACCTGTCATCGCAGCTTCCACGCGCATCTCCTTTCGGGGAGCGCAGCTCCGTTCGTCGTCTGCCGCTGTTACAGCGCTGCAGAGCCTCAATCACAAAGGTCAGCGCTGAGCGCAGCTCCCCGGGCTGCAGCCGAAGGCGCACCATTGCCTCTATTCGCGCGGGTCCAAAGACTGCAAACGCGCAACTTGAAAGAGGAGAGGCTGAAATAAGCATCCAAAGGAGGAGAAAAGAGAGAGGGGCTGCGGCGGGAGCAAAGCGCCGCGCGGGAGCCGCGACACGGGAGGGGAACGGGGCGGGGGTCCGGGCGGGCACTCACCGACCCCGTACTTCTCCCGCTTGGTGGGGATCCAGCGGGCCATGCCGGCGGCCGCTTCCCCGACGGCTCGGCTCAGAGCGGCCGTTCGCCCTCCGCCCCTCCGCGCCGCCTCAGCCCGGGCCGCTCCGCCATGCTACGGAACTTCCCGACAGCCGCTCTCAACTTTGCAGCCTCCCCGCTGCGCCGAGCGGAGCTGAGCCGAGCGGCTCGGAGGAGGGGAGAAGCGAGGGGAGGCGGATCGGATGGGCTGTGCTCGGCCCGCCCCGCCCCGCCCCGCCCCGGCTGCGCTCCGGTGCTGATGCTGCCAGGCTCCCAGTCGAGTGTTTTAATATCAAACCCTAAATCAGTAAGAAAAAAAAAAAAAAGGCTGTTTTAAAAGAATTCAAAGCATCTGGGGAACAAATAAATAAAAGCGGTCACGGGGCTGCGCTTTGCAAAAAACAAAAACAGAAACCAAACACACAAAAAAACCCGGTGTTCTTGTTTGAGTTGGCACCTGATGATGTCAGCCTGCACTGAAGTGCGGTGAGCTGGGACGTGATAAAGTGCTTAAAAGTGGCGACAGGGAGAGAGAAGCTGTGTGCCTGCCCGGATCCTGCTGTGCAGGTCTGGGGTTCTGACCTGAACCAGACTGGCCGGCATCCAAAGCTGTGCTGTCTGTGCTGCGTCTCAGCACCACCCACTGCCGACAGCCTCAGCAGCACCACTGAGAATCGCACCGTCATTTCTAAGCCGGGGGTGCAGTGAGAATGTCCCGGTCCATACGGGATCCTTACATCTCCTTGGGAAGTAACGAGACCTCATCTCTGCCTTTGCAGCGTGCCTGGCAGGTGATGAAAACTGTAAGCGTTCTGAGTACCTGAAAACTCAACCACCTGTTTCATTGCACTGAAACATGAAAATCCAGGGAGATCAGCTTTTTTCATTACTTTACATTACAAGTCAGAAGCACTGGGGATAGCTCTTGTGCTCAGCTGCTGCACTGCCCTGGGCAGATCACTTCATGTGAGCCCCACATGCATCCCTTGTGCATCTTCAGAGCAGCTTCCCATACATACTTCTCCCATCTATGCTTCTACTGAATTTAATTTGCCTTCATCTTCACTGGCGCCTGTAAGTGGTAGAGAAATATAAATAATAATTAATTACTAGTAATTTGCACTCTCCAACAAATAACCTTGATCCTTGCCAGCCCAGCATAAGTACACTTGATATCATTACACGCCATAGTACCAACATACAACATTTTCATAATACCTGCTGATCTGGTCAGATGCTCAGCCCATGCACAGCACATTACTCATCCAGCTGTGATGCACTGCAATGTTACCCTCACTAAAAAGGCAAACCCTGCCTTGCAGTGACGTGCTTTGCTCCCAAGGGATGCTCACAACAGGACTGACCTGCTCCCAGCTATGCTTCTGAGCCACCAAACATTGTAACACTGCAGCTTAGAGGTTGAATGTGGACTCTTTCAATACCTGCACAGCACCTGAAGCTTCCACAGAGAATGTCAGTAGAAATTGGAACTGGTTAACTCATTTGTTTTTCATAAGCTTCCACAGAGAATGTCAGTAGAAATTGGAACTGGTTAACTCATTTGTTTTTCATAAAAATCTAACTAAACTCAGCCACCTGTGCATCAGATGCTGTACTGAGATGTACTTGAAGCCCTTGCTCTAACCCATAAAAGCCTGTAGTTGCTCGAGCTGAAGATTCAGTAATGCCACTGAATGTAGTCCCATAGAGATTCCATGGGGAGCTGAATGCTGACAGGAATTGCACAGTGCTGCCCAGCTCAGGGGCACCTGACAACTTCTTAAAGTTTGGAGAAGGTATATTGAGATATTTTACAAATCCTTTGCAAATTCTGGAAGATTCACTTGTTCCTTATATAAGGTTAATGCTGCAACCACTCCAGACCTTAATACAAAGAGCAATGCAATAATGCTATCAAGGCAGTCAAAGGGGTGGTAGTTGTTCTGAGCCCCTCTGCTCTGATACCAGACTGTCTGGATGAGGCTGTTTGCTCTTTTAGCAATGCCTGAAGTGTTCTTCATGTAAAAGCTTCAGTACTTCAAGCCAAACATTCCTCACATCATAACACCCAAAGTTAGTTAAAATTACTCTCTTTAGAAAGAGGGGAAAAAAAATCTCTTTCCTTGCTGGTAAACTTTGCTTCCTTTCCTTTTTCCTTATGCTATTCCTAATGGCTTTCCATAGCATCACACCAAATAAAGCAGCAGCTTGATGAGTGTCTCATAGATGACCAGGGAGGGACTGTGGAAAGTGGCCGGATCTGAGGCCAGAACAGCAAAGTGTTAGGAAGACAGGGGCATGAGTTTTCAAAAGAAGACCCACATTGTGGCTGCCAAGGCCTTTGGCTGGAGGTTCTCTAATGGAGAGTCTGACTGCCTAAAAGCTTCATTTTACTGTAAGATTCCTGTTGATAGAGTTAAGCTGACTGAACTGAGCAGTATTTTCCAGCCCAGGTAAAGCAAATTCTTGGCAGCAAATGAAAAACAGAGCAAAACATGAAAGACAGACAAGCAGCAACTAGAATAGCTGGAGATAGTTGAATGATTTGTTAAATACAATGATTTGCAAGTGTTGGGGGCACAGGGAACAGGAAGCTGCAGCTTCCACTGAAAGTAGCTTTTGTTGAGGAAAGGCTTTTATTAATCTTATTTCATCAAATATTTTTCTTTTATCTTTCAGTGCTTATGTGCTGCTTAAGCAGGGATGTTAATGGCAAAGTCTGGACCCTGTTCTTCTCTGCCCCTAATGACAGCAAGGTAGATAATTAAATTATCATCAGGTTTACAGCAGAGATTATCTCTCTTTACATAAATCCCACCTCAAACCCACAAGATTGATGTCATGTTACAGCATTTATGTACATTATGGACAGCATGTACATGTCAAATTTGGGGGCAATTTGGGTGACCAGGATTCACAGGCATTCATAGGCACTGAGAATGTTGTATTACTTTCACATTCCACAGTTGCCATTTATCTGACAGCTGTAAATCCTTTCTCTAAACTGAGCATTTCAGAACTTGAAGTTAGAAAGAACCCTGCATCCTACAAGCATTTCTGAAGCATTGCCTAAATGCATCTCTTGCTTTGTGCATAATTAGAGATGAAGAAATGTAATTCTAGTGCCCTCCTATGTTCCAAGTAAGAACTTCAATAGCTGAAGAATGTGCTGACCTTCACTGGATGAATGGAAACGGCAATGGAAAGCTTTTCCTATGGTAACACTTAGAATCCAGGCAGGTGACTGCAATAGTTCTCATCTTGCTGGATTCTGTGCATAGATAAAGAAAAAGGTGGCACTTGGATCAAGCAGCTCACACTGTAATTTTAGCAAAAGAAGAGAAGCAGTGGAGAAAATAATAAAACTCTTGTTCAGGACAGTTGTACGTGCACGACCACACAGCAAAAAACCCTTCTACCACAATTCAAGCCCTCCACCTGATGAATGATCAGGTATAGATCAGAAATGGGCCCTCATTTTCCAATCACCAGCAGAAGTCATAAATTAAAAACAACAGAGGAATATATAGGAATTAAAAGCAACAGAGGAATATATGCAATTAAATATTGTACACTACAATAGAAGCTTTTCTCTATCTGCCTGTACATGTTTTATCATGCAATAGTGTTTTGTTTTATCTGAAGATCTCGCAGCCCAGATATATGTATGTGTAGCTGACTATTTCACTGCATATTTCGTTACCCAAATAAGGCAAATGCTTGTATAACAATACTAGCTTGCATTATCACACTGTCATTTTGTTCATTTTGCTCATTTTGTTGTTCCGTTAAAGCAACAGTGATATTTCTAAGCAACTTTTCAACAAAACCACTGATTTCACCAATTATGTTTTTTCTGGATTGTTCTCTACCAACACAGCTGTGAGAAAGTGCAAGCATTCCTTATCTACACTGAGGTTTACAGCTGCCAGTACCCATCCTTTGATTATCACATAGAACTAAGGTACAACAAACTCATACAGAAATGTCCTCTCCGATTTAGGAGTAAAGAAAAAGCAAGATCTGCTCTTCTGCAAATACAGTTTGTTTTGTCTTCCTGCAGCAATGGAAGGAAACACTTCCTTCAGTGGAAAAAATACACAGCAGCTCTATGAGCAGCCCATTGACCCAAGGTCTGATGTGAATGGGTGTTCCCTGTCTCTGTTTTATTTATACACAGCACAAATCACTTCTTAAGGAGGGCATACAGTATTTGTTTGTAGAAGGCAGAGTAGCAAACTCCGTGGGAGATAAAAACTGTCATCTTGCATGATATTTTGGGTTGACAAATGAGGAGAAGAGTGGGTAAGCAATGTTTCTGAGAGACACTATAGAGAAGATGCTATGTAAAGTTATGGCTTTTGTCTAAAAATCCCAGAAGTAATGATGGAGTTTCCTTTTCCAAAACTGATGCATGTCTTGGGGACAGATTTGTAAAGGTGTTCAGATGCTTAATGACATGAAAGGTGTCTAGTAGGAATTTGAAAGTATCTCAGATGCTAAATCCTGTGGAGTAAGTTTGGAGTCTTGGAGGGGTCAAGAGGACTTGACTTCTCCTTAGCAGCAGCAGCTGGCATGACCAGCAGCCCCAGCGTGGGACAAGTCTGAAGCCACAAAGTTATGCAGTTCCACTGGATTTCCTCCACGCCACCCCTGCATTTCTTCAGTCCTGATGGTCAGAGCTGTTGATTTTGGTAGTTATGCACTACTGAGCTGCAGTAACACAGCACTGTGTAGCATAATGGTTCACTAGACAGGCTTATCACTTTTTTCTCAGGAGGAATTCCAGATGAAAAGTAATCATCTCTGTTTCATGATTTGGTGCAAAAAATTCCAAAGCCATCTGAGTACTGAAACCTGACTCTTTTTCAATTAGACAGGAATGGGGACTGTAACAACCCTTAGGCAGCTTTGGAAAAGTCTGCCTTGATGTATCCCTAGGTCAGCTGAACAGGTTCTGAGTAATCAGTTAGTTGCTGTTTCCATTTTAATAGCTTTGTATTTTTATGTCTGAGTTTATTACAATTTCAAAGCAGTTTCCCTACTCCTCCTCCATCTGTCTCTTAGTAAGGATTGATAGAAGAATCTTCCCATCTACTCTGCATTTTCTCCAGATGGTAATCTCTTCCTTTGTTCAGACACGAATCCTACCCATGCAAATCAAAG